ACTTTATTTGTTTATAGTCTGGCAACAGATTTATTAAGTATTGCACAACAGCACAGTGTATTGCACAACAGCAAGAAATCTTTAATTGAATATAAATTCAATTCATATAACCGATTTCAAGTTCTTTGACTACTTTTATTCAGAAACTATAATATGTCAAATATTTAATTACAATCCAAATTCAGACCTGTATCAAGCTTGAATATTGTGTCCATTTTTGCCCCAACTGTTCAGGGTTGGACCTCTGTGGGTGTATGCAGCTGCGCTCAGCGAATCAGTTTATTACTTAATTAAGAACTCCTTTTTGTCGAGCATGCGACTTTTGTCGCAGAAAGCTCGACATAGGGATAGTGATCCGGCGGCGGCGTTAGCTAACTTCTTAAAAGCTTTATATTTTAGAAGGTGGAAGGTCTGGGTGCTTCATACTTTGTATATGGATGCCTCATGTTACGAAGTTTCCGTCAGTCACATGTCCAATGTTCTTGACCTCATTTTCATGGTTCAGTGACTACTTGAAAAAAAAGTTAAGATTTTTTGTAATGTTAAATTCTCTCTTATTATAAGTAATAGGATAACTATATTTGGTATGTGCATACCTTGCAAGGTCCTCATGCCCGTCAGACAGTTTTCACTTGACCTCGACCTCATTTAATGGATCAGTGAACAAGGTTAAGTTTTGGTGGTCAAGTCCATATCTCAGATACTATAAGCAATAGGTCTAGTATATTCGGTGTATGGAAGGACTGTAAGGTGTCATCTGATCTTGACCTCATTTTCATGGTTCAGTGGTTATAGTTAAGTTTTTGTGTTTTGGTCTGTTTTTCTTATACTGTATGCAATAGGTCTACTATATTTGGTGTATGGAATGATTGTAAGGTGTACATGTCTAGCTGGCAGGTGTCATCTGACCTTGACCTCATTTTCACGTTTCAGTGGTCAAAGTTAAGTTTTTGAGTTTTGGTCTTTTTTTCTAATACTATATGCAATAGTTCAACTATATTTGGTGTATGGAAATATTTTATGATCTATATGTCAGTCACCCAGGTTTTTTTTTTACCTTGACCTCATTTTCAAGGTTCATTGCTCAGTTTTAAGTTTTTGTGTTTTGGTCTGTTTTTCTTAAACTATAAGCAATAGGTCAACTATATTTGTTGTATGGAAGAATTGTTAGCTGTACATGCCTGCCTAGCATGGTTCATCTGACCTTGACCTCATTTTCTTGGTTCATTGGTCAATGTTTAGTTTACTTGGTTAATGTTAAGTTTATGTGACAGTTGTAATAAAGCTTTATATTTAGGACTATCAACATAATATCAATGATTAGTAAAGAAGGCGAGACATTTCAGCGTGTGCACTCTTGTTTCATTCATAAATTACTTTATACTTGGAAATATAATTTTGCTTGGAGTTATAGTTTCTAAAAAAAGTATTGTCTTTGAAAGAGTTGACATGTTGCAATGTACATTTATTCTACATAGTTCTATGGTACCAAATCAAAAGTTTATATTAAAGAAAGAAGTCAAAGGTTTCCCATCATAGTTTAGTTACATACATTTTTTTTGTACCTGAGGTCGTTGAATATAGATCATTATATAAATAAGGAGATGTGTTATGATTGCCAATGAAACAACTATCATCCATACATTGTACTTACCAGTAACAAACCACATTTGCAAAGTTGAATAAAATAAAGTGGATAACATTTACTTATTACTAAAAAGAAAATGCCAAACTATTTTAAACAGTATTTGACTATGAACATAGATAAAAAAGGTACAAACTGGACATAATGCACTAGTTCATAAACAAGTGAGAACAATCCCCTTAATATAGTGCTCAGAATATGACATTCATAAAACTTTTTCAATATCATTAGAGAACTCTAAATCTTAAATACTGAAAGCCACCTCTGATAAGTACAATGTACTATGCAAGATAATGATATAACTGGACTAAAAATACACACAACCTGTAATTAACTGCCTTTACAGCGCTTTCGCGCTTTGATTCTAGTTTCCAGACAAATAACTTGTGTTCAAGTGTATGAACCTCTCTGAAATTGTACTGCAAGGTACTATACCACAAAGGGAAGGCTGGGATTGATTTTGGGGGTAATTGCCTCAAAATTTTAGGAACTGGGGCCAAAAAGGGGCAAAAGAACAAGCATTTTTCTAGTTTCAGGACAATAACTTGTGTGTAAGTGTATGGATCTTTATGAAATTGTACTACAAGGTTTCATATCACAAAAAGAAAGCTGGGTTTGAGTTTGGGGGTAATTGCCCTTAACATTTAGGAATTTGGGGCCAAAAAGGGGCATTTTTCTAGTTTCCAGACAATAACTTGTGTTCAAGTGTAGGGATCTCTCTGAAATTGTACCGCAAGGCACCATACATTTTAACACAATGGGAAGGCTGGGATTGAGTTTGGGGGTGATAAATCATAAGGGGGTTCAAAAAATTTGAGGGGGGATTTTTTTTTCCTTTTTTTTCTTTAAAATTTTCCTTTTTAAATTGGTTATTTCTGATTGATATATAAAAGCAAATAATAATGATATGGTTTGAATAGGTAAATTAAAATTTTTTTAAGTTCTTAGACCACATTCATTCTGTGTAAGAAACCTATGCTGTGTCAAATATTTAATCACAATCCAAATTCATTGCTGTATCAAGCTTGAATGTTGTGTCCATACTTGCCCCATCAGTTCAGGGTTCGACCTCTGCGGTCGTATCAAGCTGCGCCCGGCAGAGCATTTTATTATTAATGTATATATTTCAATACATTACATTGTGTAGATAAAAGTTGTTGACATTTTATAGATAAGTTACAAATCTATACTAGTTTGTCATAAATGAAAGAAAAAATTTTGGAACTATTAATTATATTTGATTATAATTTGAAAATAGATATACACTGCATTACATCATATCTAATTTTAGAGAACTATTAATCATATCTAATGTTTTTTTTCTCTCATATAATCAGTTTTCCACACTGTTTTTAGTCATGCTTGAAGATATTGACATGATATTTACTTTTTGTTTACACCATGACAAGTTTTAGAACAAGTTAGCATTTGTTCCAGTAAAATGAATTTTCATCCAGTAGGGGACTATGTATTGCCATGCAATACTCTCAGAATGCTTGTTGATTTGGGGATGTAAGGCGGGCGGCTGCCAAACAGTGTCTCCTCAATAACATGAAAATGCTTTGACAATTTTTTTTCAAATTTAGATATGTTGTTACATGTGACTAAATGAAGGTCAAGTTCAATTTTCATGATTTTAGCTTTTCTCCTTGCTGAGTTATTGCCCTTTTTAATATCCAAAAGAGGTATTTTTAATGTGATTGAGTTATTTCTCTTTGAACAGAAATGGTTAATTATGGTTAATTATATATATAAAGTTTGATTACACTAACATGACTAATTTTCACCTGTTGATAGATTAGAGCAATTGGTTATTTTATACTACCGCAAAAAATTTGTGTTGTATAATGGTATCATGTCGTCGGCATTGTCCTCGTCCACAGACCTATTTGGTTTCCATCCAATAACTTAAGTTTAAGTGAATGGATCTCTATGAAATTTTACCAGAAGGTTCAATACCACAAAATGAAGGTTGGGATTGATTTTGGGGGTTATGGTATCAACAGTTAAGGAATTAGGGGCCAAAAACAAGCATTTTTGTAGTTTCCGTACAATAACTTGTGTGTAAGTGTATGGATCTCTCTGAAATTGTACCACAAGGATCCACATCACAAAGGGAAGGATGGGATTGAGTTTGGGGGTAATTTTTTTTAAATTTTTTTTTGGGGGGGAGGTGTCATACTTTTTTTCTTCAAGATTTTCAAAACAAATTTTTTGGGGGCCCCCCCGAGAGAGAAATATTTTTTGTTTTTTTTTTCAAAAAAGTTTCTATTTTTACATTTTACATTGATTATTTCTGATTTATATAAAAAAAGCAACAAAAACTGCAGATATGGCAGGAGATACATACCAAACAGGGTGTGTAAATTATTATATATAACAGATTAACTAAGTATTGTGCAACAGCACAGTATTGCACAATAGCAAGAAATCTTCGATTAAAAATAAATACAAATCTTTTAACCAATTTCAATGGGATTAATTTAAAGTCTTTAATTTTTGGGGGTTTTAACCTTGTATTACTATTTTGGATATTGGGCCCCATTTTTAAATTGGTCTACATTGAGGTCCAAAGGGTCCAAAATTAAACTTTGTTTGATTTCATCAAAAACTGAATTTTTGCGGCTCTATGATATGCTGAATCTTATTCTGCATTTAGATTTTTTATTTTTGGCCCTGTTTTCAAATTAGTCCATATTAAAGTTTGATGGGTCCAAAATTAAACTTTGTTTGATTTCAACTAAAATTAAATTTTTGGTGTTTTTTTTATATGCTGAATCTAACCATCTTGTTAGATTTTGGATATCAGACCATACTAGGTAAATTAAATATCCCATTTCAAATTTTTAAGATCTTTGACCACATTTATTTTGTGTCAGAAACCTATATTATGTCAAAAATTTGATCACAAATTCAGACAGTATCAAGCTTGAATATTGTGTCCAAACTTGCCCCAACTGTTCAGGGTTCGACCTCTGCGGTCGTATCAGGCTGTGCTTGGCGAAGCATTTTATTGTAAGAAGAGATCATTACCGTTAATGTATTCTCTTAAAACGAGTTAAATGTCAAACTTTTGCATTTGTCATATATTAAAATATGATTTAAACATCTTGTTAGCTCAAAACTTGTACCTTTATAATGATATGCATGTATCAGATATTTAGTAACATTTTTTTCATCATCTAAAAGTGAAAGCTTCTTTATATTTGGCACCAGGCTTTATTTGGTAGTGCCATACAGTGCAACATGTTTTTATCTTCTCTTATGGTCTATATCCTGTTTGCTGAAAACTTAGTTTTTCCTGAAAAATAAACTACCGTAACCAAAATAAGTGAGCCTTGTTTTTTTTTTGCAGCACCCTTCAAGATATAATGGAGAACCTGACAACCAGTTCATACAAAGAACGCAAGAATATGTCAACACCAAACAGCCGCAGACCAAGATTTTCTAATTACAGATTTCGTCGTTCTGAAGTTCCAGAATTCCTACCAGATGAGAGGTATTCATAAATCTTTCAACTACAAAGCTACAAAACACTTATTTTTTTTATCATTTGATTTTTTTCTGCATGTTAGAGATATAATTGACTTACCGAGAGAATCATAAAGAATTGAACTTTGATGAGTCTCAGCCTGCAAAGGTACAATAGATAATACATCACTATAATACTTTATGAATTTGGTGTTCTTTCCTCCATTCCACAGTTCTTATAGTCACCAGGTTTAGTATATGACATGTTGCCTGACAATACCACTATCCATTCATCCCTTTAATATCTGTCCATCTATTTTTACAAGTCTCCTGTCAACTAGTTACTAAAACATGTCTTTATGAATTAATCAAACAATGTTTGATTCAGTATTTACATTCTTCCTTTTGAATTTGATGATTTTCAGTTTTTGCATACCAAACGTATTGGACTTATGGCTAATATAATATTGGGTAGATTGACAATATTGTAAGGGGTTATTATAAAAAGATTTTACCATTTTTTCAGGGAAGACAATTACTTAACAGAAGCAGCCATACCGGATTTTGGTGAGCGTAAGAAGAAAGCAGAAATGTTAGACAATATGAGTACTGTTGGTGGTGAAGATGAACCCTTCTCTGTAGAACAGACCATGTATGACAGGGAGACTGAACCTCCTAGGGAACCTCATAGAGAACATCAGAGGGAAGATTCTAGGGTATGTTTATTTTTTTTATGATTTCAAGAATCTCAATAATAATTATATGATTACTCAACTAATAGAATTAATGTTTCAGTTGTGAAAGTTACTGTTTGGTTATATGGAGTATGACTTTAAAATGCAAATAATTTTTTTTGTAAACTCCATTTCACATCAGTCAGTGCATCATAAATGTATCAGACACCAGAAATCAAAATAACATAAATCTACCAAAAAAAAATGTTATTTAACAATTTTGAATAATTTTAAATCAATAAAGTTAAAAAATCAATTAAATATCTATTAATTGCACGAAAACATTTGTATTCAATTTATTGAAATATGAATTGTTACAAGTACTTTAAAAAATCACATTTATATGTTTTTATTCACTTAAGGTTTTAACAATAAGAAAATTAGCTGAAAGTTTGAAAGTCAATTGATAAAAACTGTACTTGATAGACATATTTTTGTTATTATCTGTTAAAAATGTTATGCATGTATTGATTTTCTATAGATTGAATCTGGTAAGTATATGCTATTGGAAGTGTATTAGCATGTATTAGTCTTAGATATAACTATCTGTATATGAGCATTTGAAGCATCTTTTCTGTCATTTCTGCTGTGTTTGCATTGTAAGCTTTATACATTTATTTTAAGACTAGGAAAGCAAGATACTTAAAACGATAACATTAAAAAAAAGTAAGTTAAAATCATGTTCAAAAGTTTTCTCTCACTACCTTCACCATCATCTTGCAATAATCATCATTTTGAATAATTTATATAGTCCGATCATAACACCTGTATTTACCTGTATTTACCTGCTTGTTTCCCTAAATTATTCCTTTTGTGATCTTTGATGTACTCCAGAAACTGTTATAAATCATTTCAAAAAATTAAAAATATAGTTTCAAAGTGCACTAAAAGAAGGTGACAAAAAAATTGAATTCAGTATTTATTTTAGGGTATATTTTCATCAGTTTACTAACTACTGTTTAGAACCTACTCTCTCCTTTCCCTCTAGTATAAGCTTTATATACTAAAATTATCATTAATATATGTCGTAAAAAAGGGATGTTATTGGTTTTTAGCTCAACTGGGTTGAAAGGCCAGTATCAGTTAACATTTTTGTGTCCTTCTGCTGTCTTCTTAAACATTTACCCAAATAATTTTTAAACTACATGCCAGGGCATGATGAGACTGAACATGACCTTGATCATACCTGTCAACTGACCCTGATCCTGCGGGTGTGTCCCGAGATTTTCACAATTCTGAGGGGTCACCCGGAATACCCGCCAGGTGACCAAATAACCCGGGAATTTCGGAAAATAACCTGTTTTGACCCGGATTCCTAAGCCTTCAGACTGATTAGATATAAACTGATTTCTTTAAAATACCGGCAAAGTCTGTAGCATTTCCAAATCTCAAATTAAACAGAACAAGATGAAAAGGAGAATTTATATGTTGCCTAGCAGTGTTTAAAAGTGAAAAAAAAATCTTTTTTCCAAGACGTGTTTGTCAATGAATTTTTCCATTAATCTCATAGTCTAGAGTTTAAACAAATTTGATAAAAATCAAAGCAGATAATTAAAATACATTAATAAAACAACAATCAAACAGCATAAAAATATTCATTTTTGTTTCGCCTGCGACGAAAGTTGCAGTATGCGAACATAGGTATTACTATCCGGCACTGCGGCGGTGTAAACTATTTCTAAAAAGCTTCATATTACAGACGGTAGAAGACCTTGATGCTTCATATCTTGTATGCAGATACATTATGTTACTGAGTTTCTGTCTGTCATATGCCCATTGTCCTTGACCTCATTTTCATGGTTCAGTGACTGCTTGAAAAAAAATCACAGTTTTTTTGTCATGTGAATTTCTCACTTATTGTTAGTAATAGGATCACTATATTTGGTATAGGAGTTCCTTACAACGACTACATGTCCATCAGACAGGGTTAACCTGACCTCCACCTCAATTCATGGATCAGTGATCAAGGTTAAAGTTATGTGATTAGGTCCGTTTCTCAGATACTACAAGCAGCAGGTCAACTTTATGTGGTGTATGGAATGATTGTAAGCGGTACATGTCAGATTTGGAGGTTTCATCTGACCTTGACCTCATTTTCATGTGCATGGGTCATTGTTAATTTTTATACGCCCGGCCCGTTTATGGGACGTTTTATTGTATACCGTTGACTGTCTGTCCGTCCGTCCGTCTGTCTGTCTGTCCGTCTGTCTGTCCGTCCGTCGTCAACATGTCAGACATTAATTCAAAAACTCTTTAACCAATATGCATGAAACTTTGGTGAATTGTTTATGTCTATTGACGTGAGCTCCCTTTTGTTTTTTTATAAATTTCGGATTTACCGTTTTCGAGTTTTGTGGTTTTATTGTCTCGCCTTGACGGAGTCAAAAAGCAAGACATAGGTATGCTGTTTCCCGCGGCGTCGACGGCGGCGTCAACAATGTATTAGTTTGTGATTAGGTCTTGTTCATGGTGAACCACTAGTGGTAGGTTAATGATATTTGGTATGCAGTTGTTTTAGCATTGGCACATCTCATTACCATGGAGATTATTTGGCCCCGACCCCTCAGTCAAGGTTTATTGACTTTGAAACTTTTCATAGTTTACATGTATTAGTTTGTGATTAGGTCAATTTATGGGGAACCATTAGTGGTAAGTCAATGATATTTGGTATGCAGTTGTATAAGCATTGGCATATCTCATTTCCATGGAGATTATTTGGCTCCGCCCCCTTAGTCATGGTCTATAGACTTTGAAAATTTTGCTAAGTTAACATGTATTAGTTTGTGATTAGGTCAGTTCAAGGGGAACCATTAGTGGTAGGCCAATGTTAATTGGTGTTCAGTTGTATAAGCATTAGCACATCTCATTTCCATGGAGAATATTTGGCCCCGCCCCCTCAGTCATGGTCTATTGACTTTGAAACTTTTGCTTAGTTTACATGTATTAGTTTGTGATTAGATCAGTTTAAGATGAACTGCTTATGTTAAGTCAATGATATTTGGTATGCAAATGTATTGGCATTTGCAAATCTCTTTTCCATGGAGATTATATAGCCCCACCCCTGATCATGGTTCATTGACTTTGAAACTTTTACATAGTTTACAAGTTAATGTTTGTGTTTAGGTTTCTTTTAAAGTGAATGGCTTATAATAAGTCAATGGTATTTGGTATGCAGTTGTATTTGCATTGGCACATCTCATTCCATGGAGATTGTTTAGCCATGTACCTTCAGTCAGGGTTCATCGACTTTGAATATTTGCATAACTTACATGTTAAAGTATTGCTATTTTAATTTCAACATTTGCATTATCAAAATTACAAAAAGGCGAGACATATCTCTGTGATAACAGTTTATTCATTAAAAAAGGGTGGATTTTCCAGTTTTCGGACAATAACTCAAAAACAATTTCACCAATTTGCATGAAACTTTTGTGAATTGTATATATCTATTGACATGAGCTCCCTTTCGGATTTACCGTTTTTGAGTTTTGGGGTTTTATTCATTAAAAAAGGGGGGATTTACCAGTTTTCGGACAACAACTCAAAAACAATTTCACCAATTTGCATGAAACTTTTGTGAATTGTTTATATCTATTGACATGAGCTCCCTTTCGGATTTACCGTTTTTGAGTTTTGGGGTTTTATTCATTAAAAAAGGGGGGATTTTCCAGTTTTCAGACAATAACTCACAAAACAATTTCACCAATTTGCAAGAAACTTTGGTGAATTGTTTATTTGTCCCCTACCGACGAAGTCGAAGGGGACTTTAGGTTAGCACTCCGTCCGTCTGTCCATCCGTCAGTCCGGCAAATCAGCTTTCCATACTTTTTTTCTTCGTTCTTGAAGATATTGATTTGATATTTGGTATATAGTTTTATCATGACAAGTCATAGATCAAGTTCGAATTTTGTTCCGGTCTGATGATTTAGTCCAGAGTTATGGGCCATAACTCTGGACCATATCTAATGTTAGAGTACTATGTTAAACCATATTTCTGTACAAAGGGAGATAACTCATTTTTTAAAAGACATTCTTTGTTAAATTATTTGAAGAATTTATTGGCAGGTTTGTTTTTTATTTAGTATAAACTAATTTTCTGAATGTTATATTCATAAAAAAAAATTATGAAGAGAAATCCTTTAATTAGATAATAATCTATTTTTATTAATGTATATATTTCAATACATTACATTGTGTAGATAAAAGTTGTTGACATTTTATAGATAAGTTACGAATCTATATTAGTTTGTGACAAATGAAAGATAAAATATTTGGAACTATTTATTATATTTGATTATAATTTGAAAATAGATATACACTGTATAACATCATATCTAATTTTAGAGAAATATAAATCATATCTAATGTTTTTTTTCATCATGCTTACAAGATATTGATTGATAATTGGTATATAGTTTTATCATGACAAGTTACAGATCAAGTTCAAATTTTTGTTTCGGTCTAATAATTTTGTGCAGAGTTATGGTCCTTGGACTTTAAAAATTCACTCATATAATCAGTTTTCCACACTGTTTTTAGTCATGCTTGAAAATATTGACATGATATTTACTTTTTGTTTACACCATGACAAGTTATAGAACAAGTTAGAATTTTGTTCCAATACAATGAATTTTTAACTGGTAGGGGACTATGTATTGTCATGCAATACTCACAGAATGCTTGTTTCTGTCGACATGAACTCCCTTTTGATTTTTATAAATTTTAGACTATACGTTTCCGATTATGGGGTTTTATTCATTACAAAAAGGGGGATTTTCCAGTTTTCTGAGAATAATTCAAAAATGCTTTTAGCTTTTTTTTATGAAACTTTGGTAAATTGTTTATATCTATTTTTGTAAGCTCCCTGTTGATTTTTATAAATTTTCGATTTTACGTTTCTGAGTTAAATTTATTTATAGTCTGACAACAGATTTACTAAGTATTGCGCAACAGCACAGTGTATTGCACAACAGCAAGAAATCTTTTATTGAATATAAATTCAATTCATATAACCAATTTCAAGTTCTTTGACTACATTTATTCAGAAACCTATAATATGTCAAATATTTAATTACAATCCAAATTCAGACCTGTATCAAGCTTGGAATATTGTGTCTATTTTTGCCCCAACTGTTCAGGGTTGGACCTCTGCAGGCGTATCCAGCTGCACTCAGCAAAGCAGTTTATTATTTTGTTTTGGTCTGTTTTTCAAGTACTGTAAGAAATAGATCAACTATATTCGGTGTATGGAATGATTGTAAGGTGTACGTGTCTGTCTAGTTGGTGTCATCTGACCTTGACCTCATTTTAATGGTTCTTTGGTAAATGTTAAGTTTTTATACGACCGCAAAAAAATTTTGCGGTCGTATATTGGTATGACGTTTTCGTCGTCCGAAGACACATTGGTTTTCGCACTAACTTAAGTTTAAGTGAATGGATCTCTATGAAATTTTACCATAAGGTTCAATACCACAAAAGGAAGGTGGGGATTGATTTTGGGGGTTATGGTACCAACAGTTAAGGAATTAGGGGCCAAAAATAAGCATTTTTGTAACTTCCAGACATAACTTGTGTGTTAGTGTATGGATCTCTCTGACATTGTACCACAAGGTTCCATATTACAAAGGGAATGCTGGGATTGATTTTGGGGGTAATTGCGTCAAAATTTTAGGAATGAGGGGCCAAAAAGGGGCAAAAAACAAGCATTTTTCTAGTTTCATGACAATAACTTGTGTGTAAGTGTATGGATCTCTCTGACATTGTACCACAAGGTTCCATATCACAAAGGGAATGCTGGGATTGATTTTGGGGGTAATTGCCTCCAAATTTTAAGAATTAGGGGCCAAAAAGGGGCAAAAAACAAGCAGTTTTCTAGTTTCATGACAATAACTTGTGTGTAAGTGTATGGATCTTTATGAAATTGTACTACAAGGTTCCATATCACAAAGGGAAAGCTGGGTTTGAGTTTGGGGGTAATTGCCTAAAACGTTTAGGAATAAGGGACCAAAAATAAGCAGTTTTCTAGTTTCCAGACAATAACTTGTGTTCAAGTGTATGGATCTCTCTGAAATTGTACTGCAAGGTACCATATCACAAAGGGAAGGCTGGGATTGATTTTGGGGTTAATTGCCTCAAAATTTTAGGAATAAGGGGCCATAAAGGGGCAAAAAAACAAGCATTTTTCTAGTTTCAGGACAATAACTTGTGTGTAAGTGTATTGATCTTTATGAAATTGTACTACAAGGTTCCATATCACAAAGGGAAAGCTGGGTTTGAGTTTGGGGCCAGGGGGTAATTGCCCTAAACGTTTAGGAATTTGGGGCCAAAAAGGGGCAAAAAAACAAGCATTTTTCTAGTTTCCAGACAATAACTTGTGTTCAAGTGTATGGATCTCTCTGAAATTGTACTGCAAGGTACCATACCACAAAGGGAAGGCTGGGATTGAGTTTGGGGGTGATGAATCATAAGGGGGTTCAAAAAATTTGGGGTGGGGGGGGGAATTTTTTTTTCCTTTTTTTTCTTTAAAATTTTCCATTTAAAATTGGTTATTTCTGATTTATATATAAAAGCAAATAATAATGGTATGGTTTGAATAGGTAAATTAAAAATTTTTAAGTTCTTAGACCACATTCATATTGTGTCAGAAACCTATGCTGTGTCAAATATTTAATAACAATCCAAATTCAGTGCTGTATCAAGCTTGAATGTTGTGTCCATACTTGCCCCAACTGTTCAGGGTTCGACCTCTGCAGTCGTATCAAGCTGCGTCCCAGCGGAGCAATTTATTGTGTTTTGGTCTGTTTTTCAAGTACTATAAGCAATAGGTCAACTATATTTGGTGTATGGGATGATTGTAAGGTGTACATGTCTGTCTAGCAAGTATCATCTGACCTTGACCTCATTTCTATGGTTCATTGGTTAACATTAAATTTTTGTGTTTTGGTCTGTTTTTCAATAACCATAAGCAATGGGTCAACTATATTTGGTGTATGAAATAATTGTAAGGTGTACATGTCTGTTTGACAGTTTTTATCTGACCTTGACCTCATTGTCATGAATCTTTAAAAATGTTAAGTTTATGTGATACTTGTAGTAAAACCTTTATCTTTTAGACTTTCAACATAAAAGCAATGTCAGTAAAACAGGCGAGACATTTCAGTGTGTGCACTCTTGTTATCTTTTGTACTGAACCATACAGCACAGTATAAAGGAAAGGACAATCACTTTGAGTTAACCCTTTTTAGCTCACCTGGCCCAAAGGGCCAAGTGAACTCTTCTCATCACTTGGCGTCCGTCGTCCGTTGTCGTCGTCGTTAGCTTTTTACAAAAATCTTCTCCTCTGAAACCACTGGGCCAAATTTAACCAAGCTTGGCCACAATCATCATTAGGGTATCTAGTTTAAAAAATGTGTCCGATGACCCCGCCAACCAACGAAGATGGCCGCCATGGCTAAAAATAGAACATAGGGGTAAAATGTAGGTTTTGGCTTATATCTCTGAAACCAAAGCATTTAGAGTAAATCTGACATGGGTAAAACTGATCATCAGGTCAAGATCTATCTGCCCTGAAATTTTCAGACAAATCTAACAACCTGTTGTTGGGTTGCTGCCCCTGAATTGGTAATTTTAAGGAAATTTTGCAGTTTTTGGTTATTATCTTGAATATTATTATAGATAGAGATAAACTGTTAACAGCAATAATGTTCAGCAAAGTAAGATCTACAAATAAGTTGTATGACCAAAATTGTCAGTCGACCCCTTTAGGAGTTATTGCCCTTAATAGTCAATTTTTAACAATTTTTCGTAAATTTTTGTAATCTTTTACAAAAATCTTCTTCTCTGAAACTACTGAGACAAATTTAACCATACTTGGCCATAATCATTATTAGGGTATCTAGTTTAAAAAATTTGTCCGATGACCCCGCCTTCCAACCATCATGGCCAACTTGGTTAAAAACAGAACATAGGGGTAAAATGCAGTTTTTGGTTTATATCTCTGAAACTAAAGCATTTAGAGCAAATCTGACAGGTGGCAAAAATATTCATCAGATTTAGATTTATCTGCCCTGAAATTTTCAGACGAATCCGACAACCCGTTGTTGGGTTGCTGCCCCTGAGTTAGTAATTTTACAAAAGTTTGCAGTTTTTTGTTATTATCTTAGATATCATTATAATATCTAATATCAAATACTATTAATTATGATTTTAACCTTATTTTACATGATTTCCAAAGCATCAGTAAATACAGGTGAGTGACACAGGCTCTTGAGCCTCTAGTTATGTAAATAAATAACTTTCAATTGGATGTGAAATCTTATTGATGAAAAGTAAAATTGACAGATTGATATTTCACAAAATAAATAACAATAATTTGAATTCTTTTTTCTTAATTTTAAGTCGAGGAATGTATCTAGTCAGCTGAACAAAGAGGACACACAGGACAGGCAAACTGATAACCATGACAACGATGACATACAGAACCTGGGTACAGGGAGTTCAAAACAAAACTGGGAGAATCGTGTTGAGAACTTCTTAGGACAGTGTGCTTCAAAGTCATCAAAAAAGAAAAGCAGCAGGCGATCAAAGAAAAGCAAACGCTCATAAATTTGTTGTCCAGTTGTATCATCATATCAGCTTATCATATATATTAATCTTGTGTTTACCATGTAATTAGCTATGTATACATTGTATTGAAGGATACTTGACTACCTTATGAATAACATCAACTTGTAAGTTTTACTTGGAAAATGTGAAAAATAGAACCAGAAATTTTGATTAAAGAGATGGGTATTCTGTGGTCATAATCTTACTCTGAGAGAAGTACCTTTTTTGAAAATGTCATGATCTGTGACTCTTAAATCTAAATGATATTGGGAACTCAGGAATATTAGAGGCATGTTATAGTGTAAAGAGTTGTATATTTATTTATGTGTAGTGCTGTAATACTGTATTTAGTGCTTGTAAATATTATAGTTTTAACTGTCTACATGTAGAGTTATTTTTGTGTAAGGTAATTTTGCATGTTTTATACTTCACAGCCATTGTCTTTTTGCTATGTACAAGTTTATAGTATTATTCTTTAGTGCTTCATTGTAGCAATTCCTTTATTTAGAGCTAGGTAGTGTAGATTGATGCTGATAACTAGACCATCTTTTGGAAATGTTCTTTTTATCTTATTAGATGAGAAAGTATGTTTTTCAGGAGTAGTTATTTAAACTTGTAATTACTGCCTAGCAACTAATTTTTGTCGAGCCTGCGACTTTTGTCGCAGAAAGCTCGACATAGGGATAGCGATCCGGCGGTGGCGGCTACGGCGGCGGCGGTGTTAGCTAACTTCTTAAAAGCTTTATATTTTGGAAGATGGAAGACCTGGATGCTTCATACTTTGTATATGGATGCCTCATGTTACGAAGTTTCCGTCAGTCACATGTCCAATGTCCTTGACCTCATTTTCATGGTTCAGTGACTACTTGAAAAAAAAGTTCAGATTTTTGTAATGTTAAATTCTCTCTTATTATAAGTAATAGGATAACTATATTTGGTATGTGCGTACCTTGCAAGGTCCTCATGCCCGTCAGACAGTTTTCACTTGACCTCGACCTCATTTCATGGATCAGTGAACAAGGTTAAGTTTTCGTGGTCAAGTCCATATCTCAGGTACTATAAGCAATAGGTCTAGTATATTCGGTGTATGGAAGGACTGTAAGGTGTACATGTCCAACTGGCAGGTGTCATCTGACCTTGACCTCATTTTCATGGTTCAGTGGTTATAGTTAAGTTTTTGTGTTTTGGTCTGATTTTCTTATACTGTATGCAATAGGTCTACTATATTTGGTGTATGGAATGATTGTAAGGTGTACATGTCTAGCTGGCAGGTGTCATCTGACCTTGACCTCATTTTCATGGTTCAGTGGTCAAAGTTAAGTTTTTGAGTTTTGGTCTTTCTTTCTAATACTGCATGCAATAGGTCAGCTATATTTGGTGTATGGAATGATTGTAAGGTGTACATGTCTAGCTGGCAGGTGTCATCTTACCTTGACCTCATTTTCATGGTTCAGTGGTCAAAGTTAAGTTTTTGAGTTTTGGTCTTTTTTTCTAATACTATATGCAATAGTTCAACTATATTTGGTGTATGGAAATATTTTACGATCTATATGTCAGTTACGCAGGTTTTATTTGACCTTGACCTCATTTTCAAGGTTCATTGCTCAGTGTTAAGTTTTTGTGTTTTCGTCTGTTTTTCTTAAACTATAAGCAATAGGTCAACTATATTTGTTGTATGGAAGAATTGTTAACTGTACATGCCTGCCTAGCATGGTTCATCTGACCTTGACCTCATTTTCATGGTTCATTGGTCAATGTTTAGTTTACTTGGTTAATGTTAAGTTTATGTGACAGTTGTAATAAAGCTTTATATTTAGGACTATCAACATAATATCAATGATTAGAAAAGAAGGCGAGATATTTCAGCGTGTGCACTCTTGTTACACATTAAGGAAATGTTGAGAAACAAAAGTCATCAAAACTTTTACTTTTGGATCATGAAAGTGATTGATTTTAATAATCTCCTAAAAATTGTCATTTGCTTTTCTAGTCATGGCATTATGTATTATTCACAAAAGAATGATTTTCCCTGTTATTATGTCTTAAACTAGGAATGTATACACATTTTACATTCTTTTAGCAAAATTTAAAAAAATTCTTTTGTACATTGATTTTAGTGTCTACCTTAAAATGCACATAACTGCATAGGACAAATGTGTTTTCATAAATTAATTGAATTTTTCTTTAAGAAAATAAACTTAAAAAAGAATGGTCATCCCCATATACTTTTA